TTACGCTAAATTTTCAATAGGTATCATAACGGTATAATTAGCGATTTTCCTATCGGTATACTAATTACTCATCGTCACACAAATCGGATTTTGGTACAATTAGGAATGAATTTTCAGAGTCGTGCTGTGAACTTCTAAGCTGCTGCGGTTTCTTTCTTTGGCGACTAGCGAAAATTTAATTACGGCCATGACGGGTTGAAGGGTGCAATAAATTTAATCATACCTCCTTTGTAACGGGTGCAAGTCAGGCTTGGTTTCGGTTCTCAGCAACCGCAGTAGGTCAGGACTTACCATGGTAGGTATATCCTTTTTATTATTTTAATCCATTTCGGGTATGCTGTCTTTCCTTTCCAGACCTGAGAAACTCCAGCAATTTAGCATAATTTCGACGTTATTTGAACTTCCTTGACAATTTCGACCAGTTTACGACTCTCAAAGTCAAGGCGAATTTCTAGAATCCGTAGGTACGAAGATATAGATATTTGCTTTCTGTTTTTGCCAATGACCCCGAAGATGTCCTGTACTAAGCGATAAGCTAGTAAACTGAAACTCTTGTTTAAAGCTTAAATCCTGCTAAAAGCATAAATCACTATTTCCAGTAGTCACGGAATATTATTTTACACGCAGATTTTTTCAATTTACGCTTAAATTATTGGCTATTAAATTAATGTGCACAATTGGTAAATTGCCGCGCGTACAGACCGAGGGACGCTTTAGCGTCCCAAAGTCAAGCAGGTAGACACGCGTTCCTCTAGATGAGAAATTTGATGTTGTGTTCTTATTATTTACTTTTTTTCATTATTTAGTCCTTTCATAATTTCAATTTATTTATCAGCTAGCAAATGTTCTAATATATGCATGGACATGTGTTTAGAAATTACATTATCTGGGTGAAAGTTCTGGAAACTATTCAAATAAAGAAAGGAAATTGTAAAAACAACGACGAGGGATTTAGAAGGTGCCAAAAACACCCGATTTCTAACATAAGCTTCAGGCTTATTGATAGTTCATAAAAAGAATGTGCAACATTAGGTAGTCGTGTTTTATGGCCGGTGTTATTAGCAGTTTTCAATTTTAGTCCTCGTCGTTATTTGAACCTCTTGTTAATGGCTGAAGTTTAAAAACGCGACGCATTGTCAGGTAAGAAATAAATAACGAGTACCATTAGAGGAGTACGCGAGAAGGTTCGAATTCTCGATTTTTCGTTATACACAGAAATTGTTTTGGACCCTATCGTAAACCGGAGAAGCTTGATTAAGCAGATCAATTTATCCTGTAGGCTATTTTCGCAGTCTTATAACAGTTTAGTTTCTAACGATGTTTTTACTATGTAATATCGGTACGGCAAAAATTGTTTAGTGCAGGAATTTCGAATTTTTTCCTGGCTCAGGAAAAGGAGGTCGGCAACGGGAAATTGACTGTAAAAAACGATGGACAGTTAGAAAACACCATACCCTAACTGTACATTTGTCATAAACACGGGGTGGAAACTCAGGTTCCGTTTATCGGAAAAGCAGATTAGGTTGTAGGAAAGGGTTACGGGAATTTTTTGATGAGGTTTAGTCCTTTCAGACTTTTTCCCCCGGCCGAAGAAAGGGTTAGAGGACAGAGCATTTATAAAACTGTCTACCTGTTTGTCGAATGCCCGAAGAGAATCCTCAAGGACACACTTTGCATGCGAAATGTGAAAGACATCGAATTTTACAGTTATATAAAAACCTTCTCTAGGCACCTCGTCCGTCACCCCTTTTTGTAGGATGAAAGATGAAGAAGAAGAGAAGCCTTCAAAATTTTCGCCCACTGGGCGCACTATACTTTCTATAATTTTTGAGCTGGGCTCGACATTAGTCGAAAAACCATTAGGTTTTGCTAGATGTTTTTCCTGAAACAGGGAAAGGGTGCGATCTGTCTACCGGGAGAGAAAGCAGACTGCCCTCGACGGAAAAAGAAAAGTGTGCGTGCACGCGTTACAGTCTGACTCATTTTTCGTTTCTTTCTTCCCGAACCCGAAATCGCCGACGCTAATTAAAGGATCTCTTCCCCTTTATTTTTAAACTCCCTCTTTAAGCCTTCGATATGTGTGAAACCTCGAGGCTTATCCAAATACGATAACAAATAGAATAAAATGAAAAAGATACAATAGTCAACTCAGAAACGCAAATAAATCCAAGAAAAAATTAGTAAAAATAATATTAGAGCACGTGAAGCATATGAAATTATATAAAAAATGAAAAATATGTTCTCGGATAAGCAGAAAAAATTAGAGGATGGTGACATTTTCATCGGGCAAAACGATGGTAGGGTAAAGAAGCGATAGCGGGAGGGTCCCGAGGAAGGGGTCGAAAGTGCATCGTGGTAGGGAGGAAAATTCGCCGACAGACCGGGAAGTGGAAAATTCGCATGGAGTTTTAGGGGCGCTTTAAGGGTGGGGTATTTGAAGCGAGGCTCCTATTGGTCGGAGCCGTTTTTGACCGAAGGGAGAGGGTAGCTGTCCCTCGGGCGCGGGCTACAAAACTAGCCGGCGCGCCGCTTTGGGACCAATTCGAACGTCACCAGTGGACCTAGAATACGCCTGCGAATTTCGAAGCCGTAAGAAGACGTGATTATTCTTGAGAGTTTCGAAGTCGAGATTAGTCTTGTGATCTTCAGATCAACAGTTTAGTTTGATCAGTCAAGTGTTCAGCTGTCGTCGTCAGTTAGAACGACAGTTTCTGTGAGGAGTTCGTCGCACAGTGTCTACGGAACATAGACACTATTACATCGCCAACGAATTTGGAAGGAACACGTGAATCCAAGCTTCAGGTATGTTGATTTTTTTAATCAATCTCTAAGTACAATTTTATTTGTCTTCGGCCGTGATAAAGATTGAAGGGACACGCGTTTGCCAATTGTCGACGGTGCATTTATTTTTTTCGGTCGCACGTTCTGTACTTTTGCTGTAATTCGATAGATTTTTTACGTCGTTCGTTTGTTCGTATCAGTGTTCGTTAAAACGTTGAATTCTTGATGGGCTCGTGCCCGAATGTTTTGGACAACTCCGCGACGTAACGTCAATTTCGTGTTTCTTTTGAAAGGATAGAAATAATCGCGAGCATAAAAATCGGTCGCTGTTCAGTCGCGAAAAGTGTCGATAGCATGGCAATGACATCGTGTACGCATTGGAATATTCATAGAAGCAAACACGGAGGAAATTTAACATGTCGTCGGATACAAGAATGTTGGAGAAACAAACATTATACGATCAGCCGTGAATTTGGTCACTATTCTTGCGTTCGTTTCGTTTAAAAAAATCTGTGGAAACCGGTCGATTAATTTTCCATTCGCCATGAGACCGGCTAACGTTCGCGATTGAAATCCTATCGTACTTCCACAATAAATACGAACTCCAACGACATAATTTTAATACGTTCGCAACATTCGCTTCTAGATTTCTTTCCCTCATTATTCAATATTGATTTTTACGGAATATTTGATCCTTGATGTCGGCGAAAGCTTCCAATAGTTTTACTACGCTGTCTTCAATCTTTATCATGCCGTATTGTACATAGATCTGCGAATTTCCATTTCGAACATCGCGTCTCTCTTTTCTAATATTATTTCAATTGTGCGTATTTCGAATTCGGTATTGGTTCCACCGTCTCAGCACAGGTTTTCTATTTACTGTTGTGATTGAGCTCGGAATTTCGGAAAGGCGGTCTTCCTTCGACCTTTGCCAAAGCTTTTTTTCCCGCGTTCTACGAGCAAGCACAACGGAGTTCACTTTAATCGACTCGTAAACGTCCTTTACTACGGAATCCGCGTGGAATCCAGCAGGTCGCGCAATTCTTTGAACATCCACGCGCTTCGAAACGGTTCGAATTTCGTAAGTGATTTACTCTCGGCGTTAAAATTTTACCTCGCGAACGAAATTCTGTTGGAATTTGCGTACGGTCTGAATTTTGTGGGACCTATCGGCGGTGGGAATTGGCTTGGTTATTACAAGGGTTGTTTGTTTTCGGGAAACGAACGGTCGGTAGAAGGCGGAAAGAGGCGAAAAGACAGTGTTCGGAATGTTACGGGGTAAACTGGACAATAAGTTTTCTTGGCAGTAGTCAAAAATGGGTCTTTCAACCCGGTCTATGCCCAGCGTGCTCTACTTGGGTAAATTAGCTCGACTTTAACCCTGGTATACCGTTCGAGTCCTTCGGTCGGCATAATAAATCTTGACGTTTATTAGCTAATTTTCGGAATCTTAAATTACACTTCGAGCCTAAATCTTGCCGAAATACGAAATGCGTCGTAAATCGTTAAAATAATTTTCAAACTAATATTCTTAGAAAATCAAGCATCTAAAACGGATGAAATTAGTTATATTAAGTACAATGTTATTTATTTGTGTTTATTATGTATGTAAAATTCGTTAAATAATTTCTGATTTTAAAATATCTATATAAAAATCAATTAGAACAGTATAAATTCTTATCAAGGTCGGCTAGTGTTTATCGAAACGGTTCGACGCTCGAATTATATAAACTAGACCGGCCCGTTCTCTAAACCGGGGAAAGATTTGCTCTCGTAGTAATTTTGAGACGAAAAGACGACCGAGGCGCAAAAGTGAAATGATTTTACCGAGAATTTGCTTGAGAATAGACGAAAGGTTACTTGCCGCGGCTACGGTACCCTTCACAGAATTTTTCAAATGTCGCAAATACTACCCCTTCCGGCCGTATTGTACCTCAAAAATCGATTCAAGACGAACCTTTTTCGCCCGTTTTTCCCTTCTATTCAAATTCTCTGTTCCGAACCGATAGAATTTTTACATCTGCCCTGCGCTCGAGAAAAATCAGATTTTTTTGTACGAATCATTGGAAGAATCGTTTGAATTATAAACGCGCATCGGTATTAATTGCCGTGATTATTTTCTGCTCGAAATCTGAAGAGAGACGCGGAAAACCGGCCGACTAAATTTGACCTGCCATAATTAATTATTTTTCGCTTGGCTTTGTAAACAGTGCGACAAAATGAGAGGCAACTGGGAAACGGCTGAGCTTCCAGCACAAATGACGACTCAGCAACGGCAGCAACAGTCTACTGTAGCTGAGCAGAGGCAAGCCCTCCAGTCTCCAACCACGCCCGCCTGGAGTACTGGCAATAGAATAGTGGTGAGTAATCGTTTCAACCCCCTCTACAGATCGAATCCCGCGCTCCCTTTCTATCTTTTAACTTATTCACCCTTCGTCTCCCCACTCACGTTCCTCCACCCTCGCGTTTTTTTTTTTTCATCCCCCTTCGTTCCGTCATCTCGTTCGACAAAATGTCGTTTCACTTAACTCGATGGACTCGGCCATCTCTTAGCTTTACTTTCGCAACTTCCCTTATGATTTCGCTTCGAGTTCACTGACTCTTTCTCTAGTTAAGAAGTTTCTTCTGTATCCAATCGGTATCAAGGAATGCGTAACTTTTACAGAAAGCGGAACCAACGGAGGACAAGAACGATGATTCAGGCGTATCGCCTGGTCATTACGCAAGCAACACATCGACCTCGTCGAGAAGCGGCGCATCAACATCGACCGCCAATTGCAGCTTGTCACCGGCCAGCGTGAACTCGCTGGATTCGAACAACATACAATGCAGCTCGTTCGACTGCAGTCCGCAGGGCAAGTTAAAGAACCGCACCTCGCCCGCCGACAAATACAGGAGCCGCGCGATTGGAAACAATCAAGAACAGGCGGCGGAATCGAAATCGGCTAATGCGGAAGCCGATCAGGGCAGCCTAGTATGCCCCATTTGTAGATCTACTTCGAAGGACAGGTAAGATTTCTAGACATACTGAAAACTTTGTCAGATCGAGAAACAATTTTTTTCAAATTTAGACAGAAATCAGTCGGAAGTAAAATGAATAATGAAATTGTCCCTTATAGATTACACCTCACCGAACACCTGGCAACTCACTGCACGGCAAAATCCGAGACGCAGGAGTTTGTGAAGGCGGTGCTCGACCAACTGATGCCTGGGCCATCAGGAACCACCCAGGATGACAACCGATCGCTGTCGACCCAGGGCGAACGATCGGAACAAGATATGGAGGAGACAGAGGAGCCTGGACTCCGCGTCCCCAGGTTGAACTCCCAGGGAAAGGTGAAGACGTACAAGTGCAAGCAGTGCGACTTCGTGGCGATCACCAAACTGCAGTTCTGGGAGCACAGCCGCATACACATCAAGGCTGAGAAGCTGTTGACCTGCCCCAAGTGCCCCTTCGTGACGGAGTACAAGCATCACTTGGAGTACCACCTAAGGAACCACTACGGCTCTAAGCCGTATAAGTGCGACAAATGCCCGTACTCCTGCGTGAACAAGTCGATGCTCAACAGTCATTTGAAGTCGCACTCAAATGTCTACCAGTACAGTTGCGCGAACTGTACTTACGCGACTAAGTACTGTCACTCGTTGAAGCTGCACTTGAGGAAGTATCAACATCAGCCAGCAATGGTGTTGAACGCGGACGGTACACCTAACCCTCTGCCAATCATCGATGTCTACGGAACCCGGAGGGGTCCCAAAGCGAGACCGTCGAGGACGACGAAAGCAACGAGGTCGTCGACACAAGAGGATCTTTGCCACAGCAACAACGCCGGGATGAACAACGTGCAAGGCGGGATCCCGACAACATCTACTGCGCAACACCCGGCTACCGCGCAGAACCCTGCGCTCGCTCATAATGTACAGGTCCAACCAATGAGCAGCGCAAACAGCATGATCGCTGTCAACAGCGTGAATGCTGTGATCAACATGAGCGCGTTGGACAACATGAGCGCTGGAAGTGGCAGCATGAATGCTGCGAATAATATGAACGCCGCGACCACCGGGCTACCTGCGATGGGGCAACCGCAGGCCGTTATCCATTATCCGTACAGCCAACTGTACGCGGGTTTCTCGATGATGCACCACCCGAACACCGAAGCCAACGGTGCCGAGAAACCGTTGGATCAAAATAGATCAAGTATATTAATGGATTACTTGAAAGCGGCCAGCGATGGAAGAATGCCCGAAGAAGAGCCTCAAAATTTGGCCATAAGGAGTTACAACGGGCACAACGCACCCAACGGATCTCTTAATGGGGTGCCTTACAACAGCGAGATCCCGAAAATGAACGAGCAACAAATGGAGCCCAGTTCGTCATATCCTGGCGAATACATGGAAGATAATGAGGCTCCATTGGATCTCAGCAAGCCCAGCACGAGTACACTCCAGAGGCCAACTGGGGCGGTCAGTTCATCGAGGGCCACGGGAACCAGCAGGCGCAAAGGCAAGGCCGTGAAATTGGACCGGAGGATAGTGGAGGTGGACACGGATGACGAACAGCAGTATCCACCGCAGCAAATGACGTCCGAACCTCCAGCTACCAGCAGCCAAGCCAACCGCGAGGACGGAGAGGAGAGCCAGCGGCCTTCGCTGAGCAGTGAGTTCTTCTGCCCGTACTGCGAGATCGTGTTCGGTAATGTAGTGATGTACACGGTGCATATGGGTTACCACGGATACAACGACCCGTATACGTGTAACATGTGTGGGCACCAGTGCACCGACAAAGTGTCCTTCTTCCTACATATCGCGCGATCGAAGCACGCGTAAACCTCGCGGTTAAGATCCTCCGGCAGGGTGTTCGGGTCCCTTGCCACTTGCCATAAGACACTTCCAGTGCGCGCCAGAGACGCTTATTAGATATAGTTTTAGAATTAGGAACCTAGTTATAGTATTAGAGATGTTTAAAGTCTCTCTAAAAAAGAGGTCGAGCTATCTGCTCTTTAGAGAACTTGAAAAGATGCACACTGATAGATGATGGATGCAATTGAGGTATTCGATGAACTGATCAGATTACAATGTGGTATGAGCAGTTCATTGAAATCCAATTTCTTCCATGAAGATCGTTTAATTGTTCAAGTTGTATGTACATAATACTCAGATACCTCATGGATAACTCGAATACCTCACGAATGTACAAGTTAGTATGTAGATATATTCTTCATAAAATATATCCAAAAAAGAAATCAACGATTGCTGATTTGCTGGAGCCATAATCGAGATTTCACTTTATATTTACTATATTTACTACTCGAACGAAAAGGCTGAGTAATATAACTGATATATTTTTATAGAACTTTTTATTGTATGTTCCTTTACTCAGCACTAAAAGTTTCTATAATTGAACGAGTAGACAAAAAAAGTTCCGGTTCCAGAAATCATTGTCTAGTGAATTAAAGCAATTGATATTATTAAGGAAATACCTTAACTGGGACCTGAATGTAACATAGACATAAAATGACACAGGAGAGAATCTCCAGTTATTTTGCGATCATAATATCTCGATGCTAGTCATAGATTCGAATGAGTATCAATAATTTTGATGTGCAATTGGATACTCGAGTTATCGAGATTTTCTAAGTCATTTTCCTTCGTTCGTTCATTAGCCGAAAGAGTGTCAAAATTTAATTTTCAACAGTCTCACATTTTTTTTTCAATTGACGATCCGTTCATTTTTCTTTTCTAATCCTTACGGAGATGTATTTTAATTTGGTTTACGTCAAATTGATTTGAATTTATTTTTTTGTTCTAACTCAACAAAGTGTGGTCAACGTTAAACTACATTAGAGTCTTCTATTTGTTAAATAATTATTATTATTTCTTTTTGTTTTGTTTATATAACTTTGTTTTTCCCTCTTAGACATACTAATGTAGCTCTTTGTTAAACAAAATTACTTCAACGTTGATCATGAGTCTTATAATTTTGTATTTCTATGTTCTTTTGACGATAAAGAGACTGATTCGCCAGACACTCGGCTAACGAACGAAGGTGCAAAATAAATATCAATTTATATATACAGAGAAAAGATATATGTATATATAAAAATAACTATATTTTTACATACCAGAGATTCTATAATATATAACAGATTCTATTTGTACATCGTTGCAGTGATATACAAGAACTGCAATTTTTTCTATTTTTTTGAACAAGACTGAATGACAATGAATGTTCTCTTTATATATGTGTGATATGTACCATAGATGTATAAAGAGTACATCGATTGTAAAGAGTTCTTTGAAGACTGAGGAGAGATAGAGTCTGAAAGCTCGAACTCGATTGTGGGAAACGTTTAGTCGAATTTCGTCCCGCGGTACAACATCCATTTTCACAAAAACCAAATTCTTTTTTCGTTTGACTGTTGAGGGAATTTCATTAATTTTGTTTTATTGAAGATGAAAGTACTGCGAGTTGTGTATATACGAGAAATTAATTTTCGATCACAAATACGAATCGACTAACGGATTCCTAATAAGATGTACCAACATCATGTTCGACATTCCTCTGTACAATATGTGTTCACAAAAATACATAGATTATTTATCTATTTGACTGTATCAATTTGTCTATGATCTCTTTTCATTTCTTCCCGTGTCCTCCATACATTCATAATAAATAATTGAATATAAAAATGGTCCATAATAAATAATTAAAAATAAAAGTATATAATAAATAGTTAAATATAAAAATATCAAATAATAAAATTAGTTAAAGTCATAAGAAAAGAAAATATCTTACATACTTGCATCCTTCATTAGGTCTTCTAAAGATTCTTACTCAGCGTGCGGGCTCACATCCTCTTGCATTTCCTTAAATCGCGCGAGCCTAATTCGATCGATATGATATAAAAACAAATAACAATCGACTACTAGCAATGTTCTATTAGAAGTCGTGTTCAGAAGGAATTTCTAACGAATCTACGTGAATTTAGAGAATTATTAATTAATCGGTTTTTGTGTTTGAAAAATGCAACACACGAATTACGTCGCTACTGCGTGGACACCGGATGTAATCGGTCCCATATTCAAAAACGAAAGTTCAAATCTGCGGGAGGTTAGCTTTACTTCCCTTGTTACATAGTCTAATGCTTCAACACTTCCATAGAAAATCCGAATCTGAACGATATAGATATTGATCACTCATCGAAATGATAAATGCACTCGCGCGATGGCTACTTTCGTCCCTGACGAGCTAATATACGAGAAGGACTTGTCGAAGAAGAGCTTCCGTAGGTTCAACGCGGTGGTCTCATTGATTCACATGCAAAATCTATTCAATATATATGAAAAGTACGTCAGCGGTGAAAACGGCGGCAGCCACGCGTTGTTCACGTTCCTCGACAGCGTAACGAATATTGTGATCCAAGAAGTATACTCTAGCAATGGAGATGTGTTAAAATTTTCACGTAAGGGAGACAGTATAGGGACTATATATAGGAGATATGATTAATAGAAAAAATTTGTATACAGAGGACAGTATGCTAGTTATGTGGAAGGTAAACAGGGACGAATTTGTGTCGCGGATGGTCTATAACGTTATCTTGTGCGCGCAACGAATCCAGGAGATGACTCTCGAATCAAAATGTATGATTTACTTTCGTTTGCAATATTTAATTAAAAATAGTTTTCACAAATTAAAGCTGAAAACTGTCGCTTCTAATGATCCCAACGGAAAGTAGTGGACATCAGCGTCTCCGCGGGCGAAGTTATGTTCTCGGTAATAGGCAACGATAAATCAAGGAATTTCGTGATCTGTGGCTCGCCTATCCAGGATGTCAAGTATACCAGAAGGCTCTGTTTACCAGGCGATCTCGTGTTATCATCCAGCGCTTGGGAACATTGCGCCCCTAGTCAATACGATTACGTAATTAAGGATTCAAGTAATATTAAGGTGTGAACACCAGGAGAATCGTAATGAATTTTAATCACGAATTTGGTAATGTGTATCCTCCGTAATAGATTATTAAAGTGCTTGGACCACCGGCAGAAGTGGCTAAGAAAAACGACTCAACGATCACGCCGGTTTCATACGATGACGAACAAAACACCCAACAATCGCCATCGGAATCGGTTCTCTCGGACGATTCGATCGATGAGACGGACTCAATTGAGTTTCGAAGTAAACGTCTCTGTTGATTGATGGAAATTTAATAAATTGTTGGAATAATCAATTTCATGATAAATAAAGTTACATAATAAGCTGATCAACTCTCTCTCTCTTTGTTTAGCAAGAGTCTCGGTAATCGATGCGTTACGAAGACGTCTTGGAACATGTTTGGAAACTTATATGTTAAAACCCGTTTTAATACAGGTATACCTTTTGAATATGAAAAGGCAAACGTCTGCTGTATAAGAAAAATGTCTAGATTGAAAACGAAGAATCGGAATTTAAATATTTGACGGAGATAAAGCAGATCACCGTCGTTTGCATCAGCGTGATTCCTATTCAGTACTCCGTTTATGAATTGATATCTTTACTGGACGAAGCATACAAACTGATTCAAAAGTACTGTTATAAATTCCTACGGTCTTGTTAGAGAATCATAGTATTTGTATTTGATGTAGTATAATCGAACCGTATTACGGATGCATTGCCATGCTGAATTTATTCGAAAAAGATATTTCGTTTTACCTTTTGTACGGACTGAAAGAGTACGAAGTCGAAGGAGTCAAGGTCAACTACGCGAAGAATGCAATACTCTCCACGTTTGAAATAACGGAGGCATTAAAAGAAGTTGCCGGAATCAAATCAGTTCTAGCCGGTATTTCGACCGGTAATTTAACAAAATCGAAGTAAATTTATCGTTTTGTAAGCAAATTTATAAATAGGTACAGCATTTTGCGGTGTGGTCGGTCACATCGTTAGAAGGCAATACATGATTCTCGGTGCTCCCGTAAATAAAGCAATCTCTCTAATGATAATGTCGTTCGACAAGGTTTGCATCGAATCGTTTATTCATCGTTCCAAGTAATCCTTAATGTGTTCTATCATAGATATTCTGCGACTACGACACGCTTTTAAAGAGCGAATTGGACAAAGACAAATTTCGTTCTCGAGGTATAAAGGTACTGAAAAAATTCGGGAAGTGTCAAGTTTATGAATTTGGAAACACAGGGCCGTAAGCTGCTCCGTCATTAAAATTGCGTGTATACGTATATTATCACTTAACTTATTAGTGAACAATGACAAATAAAATTTAATTTACTCTTCAGTCCAGTTGAAACTATGCAGAGTTTAGAGTACAATTATCCACTCCTCGATAGACACCATGAAGTTGAATATTTCAAGGATATTCTGGACGATATCGGGGTGATAGACCGAGCTTATTCCGGAATGCTTATTGAGGTTCTGATAATCATGAAATTCACTGGAACAGAATTCAATTGTAAAATGAAATGGATTGTTTAGGGTCCTGAAAGGTCTGGGAAATCGAGGGTTCTGGATGCTTTCGCCACAATAGTAAGAAACAGGCAGATAAAGCTTATTAAATTGTCGTTGCACGCTTCTCACACGGAGAAGGCTTTCGCCGTGCTGTACCATATATTTCTTCAAGTAAAAACAAAGTTTTGAAACTAGTTTCCTCTCAATAATTTAAAGATTTTTTAAAGTTTTCGTTTGACCAGCTTTTCAACGCTGAGAACTGTACGTCGATCGACGATCGTGAACGGGTTTTAATAAGCATGTTGTCCGAAATTCTACATGACAAAGAGTTTTGCTACCTGAACACCATAATGAGGGTTCAGTTTCCACTTTCCAAGGACTACTGCGAGGATACCGAATGGAAACGTCACGGGAAGAGCTTGGAAATCTTCGAGCAAATACTGAACCAGGTTGCGAACGATATCTTAATTAATATTCTGATATAAAGGTTGTACAAGTTTCATCAGATTTTAATTAAAACGTCAGGTTCTTGGACGCATATGCATAATTTTAGACGACGTGCAGCACATGGATCTTCTGAGCTGGCAGTTTTTGTCGTCCGCCTTGAATAACTGTAAAGTTGTGTTAATAATGGCAATGGCCGAACCCATTTCCTGGGACAATTTGTCGCAAGTAGAGGCCGGCATGTGCCAGGACAAAAGGCTACTGAATAGAACGTTAGAAGGTTTGGACCCTATGTACCTGTCGGCGTTCGCTTGCCAATTTCTAAATGTTATGGCCATACCCAAAGGTCTCGAGAAGTAAACGAGATTTTGTACTCGCAATATTAGTTCTATATTCCTTGCGACCGATTGCACTGGGTATACATTTAGACTTCTTCGGAAACGAAGTAAAAATATGATTGGCTGGTGCGAGGCATTCCTAATGTCGATCCTCCAAGTTTACGGCATACGCATAATCACGATGTCGCCGACGGAAGTGGCTCGCTTCGACCTGGTTTTCCCGGAGCAACGATACACATGCAAAATTCCAGCCGATTTAACACCGGAAGAGGCTGCGCCGCCGTTGCATTGGACGCAGATGAGCGCGATTCAAGTGTGCCTCCTACGCGACAAGCCCGCGAAACACCTCGTACCTGATCGCGACATTACAGGTGATTTAAAATACTGATAAAACAAATGGAATAGCTTTTCATCTTTTCTTCTATAGCAATGGCAATCAGTTATTTCTTTCAATCATAATATAGCATATATATTTTTAAAATGTTCATTCATTATAGGATTGAGAGTTGATATTTATAATAAAATGAACTCGTACGAGCAAGATTTTATAAAGTGCGCGGCATCCTTAGGAGATATATTTCTGCGACACATGGTCGATGGCACCATGTCCAATTCCGCCCCCCTATATACATCGAAAGGTGATCATCAATTAGATAATTAAGGATGTATTGGTTATACAGTCAATCCCAAAAGTTTATGTACCTTAGAAAAACGCATTTCCTATAATTAAAAAGAAATCAGACGTCGGAAGAAGAATGCTAATAATAAATAGCTACGTGCTAAAAAGTATAGAAGGAAATATTCAATTAAGGATAAGAAGATTAAGGTACCCCTTGGAAAAATCTCTGAAAAATCGAAAAATTTTTGTTGTTGTTTATTATTAGCATTGTTCTTTCGACGTCTGATTTCTTTTTAAAAAATGCGTTGCGGAATGCATAAACTTTTGGGATTGACTGTATAGCCAATACATCCTTAAAACGATAATTTCGCGATCGTCGTATCCTTTCAGCGATTGCAGAGATGATAAGAATGCGAATCCTGGAGTGCGCGATGATTCAAAGGAAGTGTTGCTATTCCGACGATTCGATTTATCACGTGATGAAAAAACGGAAGACATTCAGCAACATGCATCACATGATTATTTGCGAATGTCAACCTACCGGTTGGTTCAACGAAAACTATTACCGCATCCTTATCAATTATTGCGACTGATTTCGATTGCAGACATTTTTATTAAGAAATCCCTGCCTCTTGTCGCTCACTGCAAGGTCCTGGAATTTACGATGCCTACCTACCGCAAACTGTTCTACGACATATTAACACCGCAGGAGAAGCAGGAGTATCATTCGAAAGCTATTACTATGTATGAAAAGGATGCGCGAAAATGCCTCACGTGTGGCAGTGGTTATTTCACGACGTTCATCTCCAAAGAGGAAACTCAAACCGTATACGTTCCATCTACCAAGTTTTCGTTTCACTATTTTATGATCTATTTTAATAATATTTTCCCTGGCTTAGGAACAAGAAGCGATCCCGAAGTACGTAGCAATGATGCAGAGGAGGCCCTCGGTGTACAGTCACGATAAATTCGAGCGCAGGCGAAGTATATTCGCGATCGATTCTGAATCTCCTAATTCCATGAGACGCGAGAGTATGCATCCCCGGGCGTCCATTCTGGCGACTGATGTCGAAAATGACAATAAAGGTAAAACGTAATTTGCTACTTTTTTTTATCGATTTTCAATGAAAACAGTTTACGTTATATTGTTTATCACCGATAGATCTATCAGATTTGAGCCCGTCGACTACCAAAGAGAGCTACACGTCCGAGTTGCTTAGAAGATTCAAACGTGGTTTGAGTAACTTAGGCACGTTATCAGAAGTCTCGTGGTACAATCGTTTGAAGCAATTGAGCTACATCGATTACCGCACCTGCAAATGTATTGATGTGATCAGTTACCTGTTTTGGATACTGCATCATCACATCGAAAGCAACAGTGACATCAACTAAATTCAATATATGTATTATGCACCTGTGTCGAGGACTGCTATAAAAATTCGATTTCAGAGGACAGTGTTATACTGGAGAAATTCATGTTAGAGTACAGTGCAGGTTTGATCCAGACCGCGCAATCCCTTTTCGCTTCGAAATTTCTCGCTGGCACGACTGTGGACATAGGTCTCCTAAAAGGAAAGAGTAACGACATATCCAAGAATGCTGATGGATTAATTAACAAGGGAAGATCCTTGATATTGACAGGTGAGCGCATTTTATTTAATTTAACTCAACTGGTAGAACGTATTTTTAAATTATGCAGGAGACGCCTACGTAGCGTATGGAAATTACATTCAAGCGAAGAAGTACTTTACCGAGGCTGTATTGTTGAGGAACGAATTGGACGTAAGCAAGAAGACGATCTGCTACAAATCTCTGATACAGAAGATATGGTTCATATGGCGAGGCAGTAATTATGATATAGACAGAGATACCGGGGATGTGGCTATTGGCCAAATGGAGTTAGCCGTTTCTTTGCAGCGATACTCTTTAGCTGCAATGGTTACAACTCATCTTTCCCTTATATGAATGGAACCGTTCAATGGAAAGTTCAATTAATTAACCATTGGTAAAATTTTAGTATCAGAATGAGTTGAAAGTAGCGAGGGTCATCATTATGCAGAGCGTACGAGCCGCATTCGAAAGCTCGGGCGGTTTCGTGGAGACCGGTAAGATTTTCTTGACCGCAGTGATGATTTTTCGTCAGAGCAACGAACGGAGAATGATACAATCGCTGGAGAATGCGATACTGAAAATAATCGAGCAGAAAACTATATGGAAGCTACCCGAAGAGCTAGTCGTGCTGGCGCAAGTTTATCAGATCATATACGAGAACAAGTAAATATCTAAATTCTAATACAACTAATTTGTAAATACTATTAAATTTATTTGTCGATCCAAGAATATTGAAGGGCAGGTTGAACGAAAGTATCGGATTTGGAATAAAGATTTGTAAAATATGCAATTATTTGCACTTGAATAAACTCAAGCTCACGATTCTGCCGACGTTCATAGAAATCATGGTAAGTGTCCTGTTTGTAAATCTTGTAATTAAAGTACTCTTGTAATTAAAATTATCCTTATATTGCTTTAGCTTTGGTTGAAGAAGGTGAACGAGGCTGTGGACTTGTTACGCGAATTATATTTTTTGGCTAAAGAGGATGTCGATTATTCTGGCATTACGTGGTATTATGCTCTCTGCATGGAGCTTCTATTGGACGGAGCCATGATTTTGGAATCGTACGAAAATTGTTACAATTTCTACAACGATTTTATAGGTATCTGACTTAATTATAATTATCGATACGAGAATTTCTTAACGAGCCAAGACCTGATTTAGCATTTAGATCGAGTACATGCGTGATGCGTGATCCACAGTGTCGCTCACGTCTTAGTACTTGCTTATTCATCTGGCAATTGAGAATGTGAGTCAAGATGTACAAAAATTATTCCGTGATAAAGCTTATTCCCTCTTTGACCGTAGGAACATAATAGTAACTGACACATTAGTGACGGGAGTGGAAGAGTACTTGAAGGACATCACGTATGATAAATTCTCGCAGTTATACAACTGCGTCAAGGTAGATTGACCAGAGGAATCGATTGTATGTAGATCAACGATTCTTCGCGTGTTGCACAGGGTTTGGAGAGCTACTTGTTAATACTTCAACGGCGGATCAACATCAGCAAATCGAACGATCTGTTCGATCAAGTGAAGAATGCGAAAGCGATCATTAAATACCTTAACGAGGCGTCTTCTTACGCACAGTTCATTAAACCGTTTCTGTACTTGTTGCAAGCGTACATGGTGCTCTTACGCGGTCAAAAATCAGAGTCCAAATATTATGTTGCGAAATCTCAAAAGGTGGCTTCCTATCAAGAAAATAAATTCATAATAACTTGGATCGAACAAAACAGGAGGGTAATCAACTAGAAATCATTTTGTTTCAATTCGTTCAACCGTCGTCAATCATTATCGTGCTACAGACTTGGGAAGAGAGTAGTTACAACAACATGGCGGAATACTGGGTCGAGTACATTGGCAACGGCAACGGTGTTCAATGGCAGGAAATCGACTCGTTCAGTTTAAATGCTTGGTCGACTATACTGTTTCCACTTCCGCTTCCGCAGTCGAATTTCTAATTGAAGAGCCACGAGGTATATTAGGAATTGTAGCGAAATATTTATTGATTAAAGGCGTATTACAGTTTCAGGTTCTAAGAGTTATACACGACGATCCCCTCATGTGCACGGTACTTGGTTTCGAGGAATGAACATCGGTTCATCCCTTTGATATCTCGTCCGCGGGGCGACCTATCCGCGCATGCCGAATCTCCGAATCCGGGTATTCTTTAGGATACCATTCGCGACCGACGCATACCAGTACATACTTTCCGCGCGATGATACTTTATATCTAATTAATTAATTGATCTATTTCGGATTTGGCCGAGTACGCCAAAGATATGGTCTAAACGAGGAAGGGTCAGCGAAGGGAGAACAAAGAATGCAGAAAAGGAGGACAGGACGAAAGGCTATATGGAATAGAATCGTGAGTCGGTCGATGCTTCGATTCGAATATAAAGCATCGACCGATCGATTTGAGTTTCATATTTCTCGCATCACGAAACAATGTTCGTCTTCGATTCATTATTTCGTTTGACAAAGAAACCTCGTCCGACATACTAATATCTAATACACTGATTACCTAATTAGAAAAAAAAATGCTAAATGCGAATAACAGGGCGATGATCTCGTTTCGTATCAAAAGGAAATATAATATGTACAGGATTCAATGTTCCAATAACGCAGCAGCCGGCGTACATTAATATAATATACAATCGGCATGCGTGGCGACTTTTTGTTTTTGTTCGCCAAATAATTTTTTTTTTTTAGTTCTTAGACAAGGTATCAGCCCGTTTGCTCGCGCCTTCGCGACTGGAAAAGGGGGAGGATCAAGGGAGGATGGTGCGGCGTGCTTTCGAGTCGATTTCGTTGGCGTACTCGGCCTAGATTCCTTTTTGTGGAGAGAAATGATAAGGACGGGATTTAAATCGAATCGCTTGTGAAAAACGTTCCGTCTTCTCCTGTGACGCTGCTAACTCATCGTCTTCGGGCCTCGATCGCACGTAACACCGATGCTCCTCATCCTCGTTCATTCGTGAGCGTCGACGTCATTGTCGATGCGACTGCTTCGGATCCCTGTCTTGCCCGTCCACGGATAAATATCCGGACACGCCTGGCATGTCTTCATGTATCTCACCCCGCTCTTATGCCAGAGATTGCATACCTTCGGGTTGTTGCACTTCTTTGGCCGGTCCTGTGTTAAACAGATTCAATAAATTGTTTATTCGCAGATTATCTGTATTTTCATAATATTTGCATAAATTAAATACATAAAGAAGTAATAAATTCTCGAAAAGTGTGAACAACTATAGAATGTTTACATACCGGATAATTACATCCAAATGGTTCGAACGTATGTAGGAGCGGCAACGGCGTAGGATTTCTGACCCATTGGAGCGCCTGCCAATTCGTAACGATCCACACGTCGTCCATCGCGACGATGGTGTCCAGGAACGAGATGAAACCCTCCTTGTGATGCGGTTGCGTGAACCAGGCAGCGTGATAGAAAAGTCCAAACGGCGCCCTGGAACGTAACATACATAATTATTAGTACCATGATCTTTCTAACATAAATTAACGATGTGACTGGGACCGACCTGTTCGTCGTGTAATGTCTCTCGAAGTTCTTAATCAGCATCTTGTAAACACCGTCGGCGGTCGGTGGGTTGCTGCACGCGTCTCCCATCGAGCATCTGCCACCGTTCAAGTCCTGCCACATAACCATCGGAACCTCCCACAAGCCTGGGTAAGACCTCGTCGGGCATGGTGGGATCATGCAGTCGTGGAACAATTTATAATCCAAGGTGTAAGGCCAGCTGGGCGGTCGGTTCTCGTAAATCGGCATCGAGGAATCGTACGTGAAGTTCGTGTCCCACAACATTTTGAACATGTTGTTTCCACCCACCTATTTACCGAAGTGATTCAATGCTCTCCTTTCTTGCAAATAATCAGCAGTTGTTAATAGTTACCGATAAGAATGGAGCTCTCATTCCTCTGACATCCTCTAGCTTGACGCCTCCGTAAGCTGAGAGGATTTCGCGTTGCCCGGCAACTTCTCGCGCCCATTTTCGCTGAGAGAATTGCTCACCGAAACTGTGCCTGTTCCAGGAAAATTTAATTGATCAATCGATACTAAATATGATCATCGAGCCAGCGTGCAGGAAATTTGATCACCGTTCCATGAATACTTTCATTGATATTCGATTAGATTTACGATTTCGGAACCGGTTCTCGATTCTTGCACTCTGACCCGCGGCAAGGTGCAAAAAGCGACTTCTGTCGGAGTAAGCGGTACCTCTCACAAATAACTAATCAAGCTAGTTAATTAGTTACTAATTAATTGGCAGGCAGAGCAAGAATTGTTCAAGCATCCCTATTGATCAGTGATAATGAACGCGTGATTAATGATCGACAACAGATAATGAATGTAACTTGTTCGGGCGTTAACTCGATCACGCTCATAAGTGCGGTCTCATTTCCAGTTATTATATGAGATATTACTTCATCTTTTATTTTTTAAGACTTTATTCTCTACAAAAACGATCCTTGTCAGTGTTACAAGAGAAATTGACAAGAATGATTTTTGTCGCCAATTCTTGTAAGGACAGATGTTATATTATTTATTATGTTTGTCCGTCAATTTTGTTGGGTTTTCGTGTCGGTACTTACGAGACCGTGTGGGAGGCAAGCTCATGACCGGCGGCATAGAGATTTTGGACCTGACTGTAATCGGTCCATTCGTGGGAGACGTAGAAGGTGGCCGAGATCGGGCAGCCGTTCGGGTTTTTTCTGCCCTTCTCGAACAGGTCGGTGTACAAACCCTTGTTTAGGTCGTTTACGGAATCGTCGAACGTCAGGAGAACGATTTGCGGTATCTCTTCCGGAAGGTAGTCACCTATTTTTAGGGATCGTTCGGTTTGGATAGGATCGGATAGGAATGATGTGCGGTTCGTGTGTTATTGTCGCAATAAATTCGGTAAAAAGTGTGTAACGTGTGTATGTGTGTGTGTTTGAATATGCGAGTTCGAACATGTAATTGCGTAATGGGAATGCGAGGGATGAGTGATGCGTACAGAAGAAAGAGAGAGCAGAGTGTAAAGAGAAAAAAGAAAAGAAAAGTCTGCGGTTAGCCAGTCATTTTATACATATACATGTACGCGTCATTAGTACACGGCACAGGTGCGTCGCACGGCTGGTGAAACTGCTTCGTGACCCGTGTCATCGTTCATCTGCGATCATGTCGCTCGTTTCACCAACCGTGCATCGCAATTAACGACGTTTCATCGCGATCCTCTAATTGCCCTATCCGTTAATAATAACGAGCTACGAGGAAAAGGAGAACGGAACGGAAACGATACGCTCCGAAACGCGTCGATGGGACGAGTCGTCTTCGTTTTCCATCAACGCGCGGGACACGTCGTCTTGCCGCGATCGCGATAACATCGAACTCCTTTCTTTTCTATCGCTTCTCAGGATTGGAACAACGCCGAATCATACTTTTAGATGAGCCTCGCTCCTTCCGCGCATTCATGGTGTTAGCTTCCTTTTCCGCGAACATACAAAATGGGCCAGAAGTAATAAGTAGACCGCGAAAAACATTCGAAATGCCAATTTAAAAAATTAAATCCAATTCGAGACATCAGAGTAATTATGTGTACTATACTTCCGATGCTCTGCAAATTTTTGCACTTTATATCTTCTGCACATGTAATTTTTCTACAAATGCGTAAAATCCGCAGTTTAGTAATAACAAATAGAAAATCTCCCTGGTTCGGCTTAGGGAAATTATTTTAATTTATAAATAATTAGAGGATCGTCGAAGAAATCGTCGAAGCGTGCTGTCCGGTCCCTCGCGGACATTCCTCGAGGAAGCGGAACCAACGTGGACGCATAATAATATGTATTGCAACAGGCGGTAGCGAAAATCGTGCGCCCAAATACGTAGTGACTCGCACAATCAAGTCGAAGTTAATTCTCAACTATTACACACAGTAGTAGATGATTTTGAAGAAACAAGGAAAAGCTACATACATTTTGAAGAAACAAGGAAAAGCTATATTAAATAACGTTATAAGAAATATTTGATAGTTGCGAGTCACTGTAGAACGTTAGTCGAAGAGATGCGATGACGTTCGATGACGGGCCATGATCGACGTGATAAATCAGCGTGTTTAGGTGCGAAATTGCTCATCCTCCCGTATAACTTACGAGACAGTATGCGATGCCATTTCATGGCCGTCCGCGTAAAGATTTTGCACCTGACTGTAATCGGTCCACTCGTGCGAGACATAGAACGTGGCCGCGATCGGGCACCCGTTCGGGTTCTTACGTTCATTTTCGAACAGGTCGGCGTACAATTGCATATTCAGATCGTTCACGGCGTCGTCGAACGTCAGCAGAACGATCTGCGGCGTCTGTTCGACCGGGATCCCACCTGGATATACGACTATTTTGTATCGACGCAAACATTCTATCTCGTTCGTACAATCTGAATTGATTTTGACAGCCCGCGCTTGATCAATTGCTTATTCGGAAAACTGCAGTACAACCAGACGGATCTCACAGACTCTATCGCATGATTTATGCGAGGTATGCGGTTGCACAATCTATTCTAGACGCAGGAACGTATACAGCTGGGCTGTCTTAACGGATTACGTACCGTCGCGTCTGGTGCCCGCGGGGAAATATTATTGTCGTGACTCGAAGCGCATCGTACGTTTTAATTGAAGAGTTTGCACCCGCCCACTAGTTGTACAACGCTGAATCCTGAACTCAGTATATTCTCGTAATTAATTTTAAATATCAAGCTATCTGTGATTCTTTGTTTAATAACGATGATTCGTCTGCGTTATAAATAAATGTCAATGCTTGATTAGCCTGAATGGGTTTTGCTCGTTAGGGATTCTTGTCAGGCGTCAAGCTTTCGATTTCGAGCAACCTTGCGAGAGACGCGCACGTGCGAAATTGCGAGGCGGCAGAGCGGATTTGTTTCACTTTCGACCGGTGGAATGGTTATATGTGTAACGTTAGAACCGGAGAAAGTCACGGTGGCTGCTAAAACCGATCAAATTCAACATTCGTGACACGCAGACTTGCGTCACAGCCTGCCCACGTCCTATTCGTATTTTCGAATCTATTATATTCGTTCGATGTTTAGATTCGTTTCGATATTCGTTCTTTCCTGCGTTAGTTAAAAACGTGACACATTTTTCAAATGTGATTTTAAAACAACTCACGTGGGCGAACAATCTTTTCGAGTCTCGATTTTAACTTTATGACATAACGCAACAGTCGACGAGGAAGTACAAATGGCAATTGAGAAGGCTTACCTGGAATGTCAGCACCGCCGCAGCTGCAATCAGGAAGCAAGCAGACGTCCTTGCGACACTTGGCCGCGGGTTTGTCGACCTGAGGCGTCGGGTAGATCGGCGCTGGCCTCAACGGAGGATACCTGTAGATGTCGACGAACTCCTGCGCTTTCGACACGATCTCCGTGGATGGTTTCAAGGTTGGCCGTAATCGTCTGAAAAGCGCGAATTACCGATTTCACGTTCACAGAAAATACGGAACGCCTGTAGAAACCAGCAGTCGTTTCCTCCCGCGCAACCGTGATTTCGTCAACTCGCGACGACAGTGATCGTGAATCGATCACAAGTCCAATTCAATTTGCTCGGATATTCTCGCTCCGTGGTATTTGTTAAAGAGTAGTTAATTGTTTGAGGATTGTAATAACCGCGCAGCTTATACTCAATTAACTTTCTAGCCGCGTTAATTCGGTACGGACACGTTCGTTCACCTCGTCGATACTAGCTGTACAAACTATAAAACGGCTCTTGAGATAACCGGATCGGATATCCGACATTGTTGCCAATAATTCTCATTCTTCTTAGAATCAATCGTAGTTCCGCTAATTATTGGAAAATCGCAGTATGCGAAGAGAGATTGACTTTCTATGATTCGCACGATTGAAAACTACACGCGTGCTAGTTTCTACCGGAAAGATTAAAAGAGTATCGAGGATTTGCACCACTTACGGTGGTGCTGTGCCACGGTTGATCTGCTGCGGGCGGCTTCGGCTGGAAGAAACACACAGGAAAGGAATGAAAAACTGAGATTAGATAGAAATCGCGAGGACGAGTCTTGGGAGTGGAAAAAATAAAAAAAAAAAAAGAACGAAAAATCAGCTCTGTTTCCGGCGGCGTACAAAAGGAAAATGTCCGAGTCCCGAGAGAGAAAGCGAGTGCTTCGTCTTGCTGAGCACCGGCGAAATCGGGTCTTGGTCGATGGAGACGATGCAAGGCCGCTCTCCATGTCACGGAAATTGAATCGTTTTAAGAATACCAAGAATGTTAACGCACGTAGCTCGATGCTTTTCAGAGTTACTTCATTTCATATAACAGAGGATAAAGTAAAACGCGAGGCTAATGATATTTTTAGAATCAATGGTATGATTAATTTAATGCCTTAGGATATTGACTCGCGTCACGATAATTCTCAATCAAACAGACCTGTGGAAATGTTGATTACTCTTCTATGGTTAGAAATAGCGCGTTAGGACGAGTTAGCTACCTCACGCCTCTTCGATCTCGCCATCGATTACGATCAATCTACCGCCGCTTTCACGAACGGTTGCACGCGAACACATAATATAATAAAAGTGAACGCGCTGCACCCGTACCCACGCGTCTAATCCTTTCCCGGCTGAAATTCGCACCGAGCGGCGAACGATTTTCAATCATGTGGATGTCGAAAGATATCCCGCTGTGTAAACACTAAGTCGGTTTTTTGCTCGCGACCCGACCGAAGAAAGCGTGAAGTAAATTTCGTGATCGATGCGCCGGTAATATCGATCGAAACGTGGCTCGTCGATTTTTGCTCAGTTTTGGTTGCATAATAATTAGACTGCAAGTTTTTATGCAAAAAGGAAAGGGTTTGAAACAGAATTTCTTTTACCATTTGAGTAATGCAATGCTCACGCAGCTTTTGATATTTTATGTAATACATAACAATTTTCTGATGCATGCATAAAATTTGCACTATGATAATAAATAAAAATAGATAAAGTATTGAATGGATAGTTATTGTATAGAGTACTATACCTGGGCGCATTGACGGTGTAAGTTCTCGTGGTGGTCGGCGGCTGAGTGGTAGTAGTCAACGGGATGAACGTGTCGACGATGACATTTGGAGTGGTCACGTGGACACTGGGATGGCTGAGCACATTCGGTCTGCGGGCACGCGACGTTTTTAATTAATTGACTAACGCGCGGAACGGTTCTTCCTCGTGCGGTCGACGCTCTCCTGCGGTGAAAGACCGCAGAACTCGCTTCCGAGACAGATCGTTTATCCAGTTCTTTATCATTATCCATAACGAGACGCGAAGCATTTATACTCTGAATCATTTGAAGTCCGAATGGAATTCGAAAGGAAACATATTGAATAAGATCGACTTCATAAACAGATTAACTTTTAGAAGCTGTGAAAGTAATTTTTCTCCATTCCAAGAAGCGTAACAAAGAATAACGAGAGATCGTTGAAAGCTCAAGGTTCGGATCAGAAATCGGTAATTGTCTTGTCGCTTCACGCTCGAGGCTTCGCGTGTAATCTCTGCAGGTTACTTAGTTCTCGATTAACAAGAAATTTCTCACCTGTATGATTGGCCCTCGTTAATGCGGAACTTGTTCTTGTTCAGGTGAGCCTAAAGAAAGGAGGACAGAAAAACGATAGGGTGATTCACTATCTCTTTAGGATCCTCTCGAAAGAGTCCCGTCTTACCTGATTCTCGTAGATATCGTAGTCTTGGACCGTGACGTCCTGATTCAGATTGTACTTGTCCGCCTCGTTCACGGCAATCTTCTTAGGCTTCTGGTATTGCTTCGCGTTCACCTCGCTGATCTTGACACTCGGTTGAACGGGCACAGTTTGATTCACGGTGTATTGATTGTAATCTAACCGAGAAAGGTTATTCGTCATCTCGATAAGTCCACTTATTCGTTCATTCATTCATAATTATTGTGATTTCAATTACTCGTACGATCAGAGAAATGATCTTATTAATTTATCAATACAAGCTCACGATCCATAACTGATGCTTACCGTCGTCTTTGTAAATGGACACGTCGTCATCGTAAATGGTATAATAGGGGTAGCTCTGATCCGGATCGCTGTAGTACGATTTAGAGATCACTGGACTGGCGGCAGTAGACGCTAGGATCTTCGCGACTCTGGGAGATTCGGAGGACGGTACTTGTGTCCTGGAAATTTTCGTTTCATCTTGGCTTCTCTAATATCTCTCAATTCTTAGAAGATGTCGAGAGGTCAGCGAGTTTTATGCAATTCAGTTACACTCTTAATGATCTCCATTAAAGAGAACGCTTATCGACAAGAAGAGTTGTCTTAATCGACGTCTGCCGACTAGAGCTATCTCACGAGATAATCGTTGCTCGAGAAAGAAAAAAAAGCATCGGATCGGGATTACGTAAAAGCAAAGTAGCCACCGCGCTGGAAGAATTAAAGGAGCCCACGGCGAAAGAGAAATCGAGTAAAAAGGTCGCGGCGCGCGCCACGGCAGGGCCGGTGCTGCCCGACTTCCAACTCTTTTACGTACCTGTAATGGGCTTCCGTTTGGGCACGCGTGCTCACCAGGCTCTCCTTCTCCCTCTCCTGTGGGAAATGTTAATTCAGAAATTAATTAATGCCTCCGGTCGAACTTATCTTACGCCCCGACAGGCTAATTAACTTGACGCCTGTGTGGCAACGAGTCGCGCGAAGAATTCACGTGACGCAAGTTATTTACTACGTGATGTATTAGATTGTCCCAAAAGTTTCTTCTCGCCTGTGATTTGCACGCGCCACTTTTGTACAGACTGGCAACGTGTGTGGCTTCCGGAATAAATCATAGTTTCAGTATGTTGCTCAATATTTAGCAACTGAGAGAAAGAACTTTTGGAACAAATAGGTTCCGTTCTGGCCTCGTTTGCGGATTACGTAGATTTTCCTGTTTAGCTAGTTAAGGCGGGAGAGATCACGGAGGCCTCGTAATTGACCTGTGTTTACTTTTAATCGGCCTATACTTATCCCATCGAACTTTACGGGCAAATGGCAAATCAATTTCTTACCATTCTGCTTTCTTCCTGAATCTACTACCTCGAGGTCAGTTCTTATTCCAAACCGTAGAAAAAATACTGAATTTTTATATGCAAAGTAAATCAGTGTACCGAGATCACGTTTCTTCTTAAGCCATCCCTGTCGCGTTGCACCTGGCCAATCGTCGAGGGTTGTCCTCTGTAGACACGTTGTTGTCTGTCGCTTTCTACTTCCGAAGCCGGCTCGTACTCCTCCTCGTGATAGTTCCTGGCTTGTTGTCTCTGACGGATCTGCTTCTCGGTAATCTGCACAGGAGACGGCGTGGTCGTTGCCGAGATAGGTTGCCTCTGACGCTGCTGTTGTTGCTGTTCACGCCTCTGCTGTTGCTGCTGTTCTCGTATCTGCTGCTGATGTTGTTGCGATCGTTGTTCCTGGAGGCTCTCGATCTTTGCCGACCTGACCGTGTTTCAGGATTACGACAGGATTAATTATAGCGGTTGTTAGATCTGTTTCCGACCTCTAAGATTTCGTAAAAGAAAATATCAGAGCAGAGAAAGTTCTCAAATAAAAAAGAAAAAGAACGGAGTAATTGGATCAATTCGACCGAATCAGTTCGTTAAGGCTGAGAGATATGCGATTTTATTGTATTCTCTTTTGCCGTTTGGGAAGTAATTATAATTTATAACACGCTAGAATCAATAAGAGATACTGTTCCATATTCATAATTTACGAATTTGCATTATTTTTATTATATATGAAACAGAATGTAAATGAGCGTTATTGAGCAGAAGTTCTTCCTGTTTCCGTCAGCCAAAAAGTTGTAAACATGCGAAACGCGTTAATTGAATATACCGAAGGTGTTTACGACAAGTGGTAGAAGTGGAACGCATAATCGGAAACTGTCTCGGGTTAGTTCGAATGTATGAACTAAATCGAACGAGCTTTCATTATCAAACTAGTTTCACCAAAACACGTTGCCAGGAATGGCAAGGACGCCGGTCGTGCGTGCGTATAGGTGTGCAGACGAAACGTGGCACCGGTTGAGAAATCGCTTCTTTCCCCCGATTACTCGAGCACAATACGTTAATGAGCGACTAGCCTAAGTTCCGTTGCCTAACTTCGCCTTGCACAAGGAGAGTCTTGGAGCTATCCGCGAGAAAACTCCCTGGGACAGTGGGAGAGAGACCGAGTTCATTGTAGACTACGCGGTTATACAACAATTTCGCCGGGGTTTCTATATATGAAGTTTAATTCGGTGACGCGTTTCAACGTCGAATTAGCGCACAACCGAGCCGTTTGACGGCTCTGTTGATTACGATCTGAAGGACTTTAGAACAATAACTCGGTCATGAAAGGTAAAAGTGCCAGAAAAAGTACCTGGTGCTCCATTTCGAAACTGTTCGACCTGAGAGAAAAAAGAAAGCTATGGAGACATGCCTCGTACCTGTATGGTAATTAGGCAGGTCTAGCGAACCTCCAATTTAAGGGAGAATGACCGTAACGGTATCATTTATTACTGGAGTTTTGACATTCTCGAGTCTATTTTCTCGCGTGCAGCCGGATCATTGATCAAGCTGCAGCGGTTTCAAGTTGGCGAGGAAATAAGACCAGATCGCCCTGATACACTTCGATCTCTTTCTTGTCCCGACTCTCACTCCTGACTTTTTTCTCTTGCCGACGGCAACGGCGAACTTAAAGAGCAACGATCGGTTTCGCAATCGTTGTGCAATCAACGGACGTCCGGATCGAATTTGCTTCCCCAAAATCGTTCGAACCGTTCGATTAAATTTAAATTAGTGAAAGTCAAAGATAGAGAAAGGTAAATTCTCTAATTAAGATAAATAGCTGCAGGGTTTAATCACGTGTAACAGTTACGCGTGACACGTAATAGCGCTGAAAACTCACCTTTCCAACAGCGGATCTTCTTCAGTTTCCTTAGTAGGAGATCCGCCCTCGGGGCAGCCTACGTTACGTGGCCAATCGCACGTCTGTAGCTCGTGACTGTGAAACAGAAAGTAATACGTTCAATATTGATCACTAGTTACCGGTTCATGGCTTGTTTTCGAGGATGCAATTACTTCAATTAGTCCTATTGTCTACGATCATCTAACGTAAACTTGATCATCAAAATTCATTGTCGTCTAACTTTATTTGTTAATATTGTATAAATGCATTAATTGCTTTCACGATGTAACTTCGTTATGAAAGAGACTTTAAGGCATCTTTTTCGATTCAGGTTTCAGACGGGTTTCCGAGGGTCCTTAATTGGATACGATGTTAACACCGGGTTTTAGTTAGGCCGGTTTTACAGCGAGCATGTTTGTATCGAGAGAGGTGTGGCAGACCGATTTTTTCCAGGGTTACGCGTGCGTACGACCCCCTTTTACCTGGCAAAGCCAGATTGAAAGTGTAGCACAGTACCGTAATCGAGTCCTCTTACGCCCTCATTCTAGCTTACTCACGTTTTATTACCTTGGACAATACAATGGCATTGGCGAACACGTTTTCTAGACCTTATTTTAAAGTATGCTATTTTAATATAGCTTGTTTTACAGCCTAATATCCCTAGAAATAGATTTTTTCATCAACCGTACAATGGTAAATTTTTATTTCCGGCAATTCAAGGTCCTTTTAATTTTACTTGAAATACCATGCACCGCGTTCCTTTTCAATGTTAAGTTACCTGTTTCTTTCATTTGGAGAATCACATAAATTATCGCGCTGTCAAAAAGAGATTTCCTTCGAGTCTCGTCATGGGCGTAAGAAAGCAGAAATCTGACCGGAATTTCGGAACTGGTCTCGAGAATACCGATGAGAGTACATCTATTAGACTTGTCTATATCTGGACGACAATACGTCTTGCTTTCGATTAAACTCGTCGCTATTACTCGCTCGCGTTTTCTTTAATTCAGTCGCGGTACTAATTTCTTCCCATATTAGTCGCAGATCGTTCTCCGTCTTTTTATCCGCGAACCGCTCGCTCGCACGTGTTCACGTGCTCTCGATCAATTATACTCGTATTTGCGGAAACATGACAAAGAAAAACCACTCGTACCGCTTTCGAATGATCGTTCGTTTTTTTAATCAATACACTAGATCCCATTTACGGCAAGAATATCATTATTAATCCTTTGATACCGATCCGACATTCTTACATTAAGCTTGCAATTATAGAATTTAATAAGATTGAAGATTAAGGCAGATTATTCTCACCTGTACATCAATCCTCCCGTGCAGGATTCCAGCAGGGCACCACCGAACACGCACACATAATACTGCGTGCAGTCACGTGGATGAGGATAGTAGCCAAACTCTTCCGGGCACTCGAACTCCAACGCGGCTTCGTTTCTGCTCGCTCTGGCGCTTCTCGGGATGGTCCTCTGACACTCTGCAACCCGAAACGACAATGTTCTCTATATCTTCCGTGCAACTTAAACAAATCGCGTTTCGTAAGGTTCTTACTATTCCAGCAATTGAATCTTTTGATCAACGCCGAAAGCAATTGGAAAATACTAGCTGCGTTCGCAAGAACGGTACTAAGGCGAATTCTTGTTATCCAGCTACCGTAATGGAATTTCTGAATTAATGGATGAAAGACAGAAACGCGAACGATTATTGTCTGAGATATATCCTGATACGGTTCGAGTTATGTCTCCATATCGTGATACGAATCGGTCCGAGGTACCAGGGCTTACATGAACGGTACACGAAGATTGCGTAACGGGTGGAGCGTATAAGTAACCGGATTTTTAGTCGACCTTGCGCTCACGCACAGTTATGAAACTCGAGTAACTCGACTCGACGCAGATGTTCGTAAATTCTTAATGGGGCGGCGGCGGCGCGGCGCCATGGAACAAAGGAACGAAGGAAACTAAACCGAAAACGTGGCGTCTAATTCTCTTAATCCTCTTGGCACGCGTGGTTACGCTTCACAAGCGAATTTTATGCTCAGTAAGAAAACTGAATACAGAATGCATGTAATGCCAATATCCATAACTGCATATCACAATAATGAGATGAAATTATTTTGTCTAAATTACATTATTTAAATGGATACTTTGTAATAGTAGTCTTGATGACATTTCATCAAAAGATGACACCGAAAAACGGTGTTGCGTTTTCTGCGGTAACTTCGTTACCGCTGCTAAATACACAGCTTGGCAGTCGTTGAGGGAATGGCTTCTGGTTCCACCATTGTCTTCGGCTGCGGATTCGATTATCCCACTGCCTTAAACCTTTCTGGCACAATTTCATCGTGGGACCGCGCACTGCTGTAACGACGAATTGATTTGTTGGAAACGTGACTTGCGCCACTACCTTTTGCCTGTAACTTTCGACGTGAGAATACGTGTCCGTGCAACAAACGCCACGCTCGGACGGCCGTCTTGTCTGCAATACACGTGTACGAAAGAACCGTAGTGTCGTTTTTTAAACAACTTTTCTTCGTTTCAAATGAAACATATTGACAAACGATATATTGGTTTAATTTCTTTCCCACTGATTTTGTAGCGACTCTTGTCTTTGTAGAATGCCTGTCTCCGTTTCGAGAAGAAACGAAAATGATTCAGCATTATTTATAGAGTTGTTTGCCCAATTCTTACTCAAAACCAATGAAAACCACGAGTGCATCGGATGCCATTTCTGGGTCATCGTTTTTGTGAATGGCTAAGCAAAAAAGGCAGGGTGAAACCATGGAACTGCGCGTTTTCCTCGGCTTCCCATGAACGGCGCGACGCGTCGGGGAAATAACAAAGCGATTACATAATTGTCATTAGGCAGCGCGCATCTGGCTCGGCTGGCAGACCAAACCGGTAATGAATTTTTGTGCTTGTCAATAGAGAAGGACAGACGGTGGCATTAGGCAACTGTAATTGGAAACGCGGATTGTATCAGAGAGAAGGAACGACGTAATAACGCGTAGAGGCGATCGGTCGTCGGGAATGTGTCTAATTAGATCGGGACCGGTTGATTGAGTCTGTCGGATCGGCCAGAACTTTCGTAAGGTTAACACGCCCTTATTGTTCATGCCACGCGCGTTATTCTTTTTCTATCGAACAACAATGATAACTCGTTCGTAGCTTTGGTCTGTCGCAATAAAGTAAAAGCGTTAATCCATAGCAGGTCCGAATTAAATTCTCGGAAAAATAAAATTGCATCAATCATCGTTAAATTTGAAGGGTTAAAGGAATCTCAATCTAGATTTCCTTTTACGAATTTTATATAAAAAGCTGCATTCTAATCCAATTAGTTACGAAGACATTAATTGCAAGATGACGGTGCACACGGTGTGGGGTCGATACACGTTGGAAATTTTCTTTGCGCCAGCAACGCAAAAACCAGCGATCTGGTTTATAACCGCGAGGGGTACTTTCTATTAACGATCTAATGGACGCTGCTTATGCGTGGTCATATCGCTTGTATAATTGAAATTATACGAAACTATAAAAATTGGCGGGTGAACTTCTCAGTCTTTTGTGTTCCTTCTTACAATGTGTTACTTTTACCTTTATTTGATTGGATCTGTAGAATATTTTTTATGTTCAATATGAATTTACGACACTGACAATCGATGAGGCAGTCAACCTGTTAATTCTGAATGCATTAGTCGGCGGAGTTAATTATCGCGTCCTCGCGGATCGAGCGAACGGATTCCTTCCCGGTGTCATTGAAAGTATCGACTAACCGCGGCGAAGGTCGTCGGGAAAAATCGAAATCGAGGAAAAGGAACGCGCCAGGGAGAACCCGGCCTTGGCGCTGGTACGGTTCACGGAGAATGTGACAAAAAACGAGTATTCGGAGTGAACATCTTGGTAGATACCGTTCTCTTGACCTTCCGGCAGGCGACCTTGCCACGATGGCAAGGTCGGCCAATCCTAAAATTCTTTTCCTCCCTTCGAGCCTGGAACACGCCAGACAACTTCTGCTTTTAAAGGATTGATACCGCGCTCTCCTCGATAAGAGATCTCGTCCTTACTGGAAAGTATGCGAGTTGCAATTGGAATTCAGAGAGGACTCGTGTCGAGATTCCTTTTTCATTTACTCGGTATAATGAGATCCGCGGCGTATCTTTGACATTTGCTTAAAGCGTAATGCGACCGATGACGAGAGGAGTTTCAACCGTTCTAGAAAGGGGAATAAATCGCGAATACCTGCTGCGCTCCGGGCGCGGTGCATTAAATGTCAGATGAACCATGGGCCCACCTCCGCAACGATTTTTCAATTTTTCTATTTTACTTCTGAACCATTTGCATTGTCAGTACGAAGATGTATATCAGATGCACATTGTATGATATTATAGAAGAGCTATCTTAGATTTATGCTAACCAACTTGAAATTTTGAAATAGCTATGGCACGCAGGTCGTTATGAGAAATTACAAAACTCGTCGAACGGCCGAGGCGTTTCGCAAGACGCTGCGGTTTTCGGGGCTCTTTTTGTGAGAGAGACACTCTCTGAATTTTCACATGGTACTCCGGCCAACCTGGGGTGGGTGGCTGGCTAGGACGTGGATGTAAAGTTACACCATTCAGCCTTATTGAATGTTGCAGAAATGTGAGAACTGTATTACCTGGCTTGCAACGCGGCTCTCATTATCGCTGACAATAAAGCCAACCGCGAGGAACGAAAATGAAACTATCGTAATCACGGCAACGCTCAGTTGGACCACTTGTGTAAGTGCTTCGGAACGGAAGTCGTTTGATTTCCGGTTCTGGATTAAAATAGGTAGGAACCATGAGGAGTGTTGTGCAATTCGTTCGTTAAAATCACTTATACAATATAGGAAAATGATTTTTTCGAATGTTAATGTCTATAATTTTGCTGGGTCATTCGATTCATGAATCAACGTCCATTGTTCACGTTAATTCAAGCCTGAAATTCATTATAACCGTAACGAAAGATGGAGTCAATGCTAATTGCGTTAAACGTCGCGTAGAAATCTCCTAGATTGAATGAGTCACAGGCATTCGCGAACGATTAACACCCTTCGGCTAGTAATTTATGTAAGCACGACTTTGCCGGCCATTCAGATACAATTCGTAAACGATAAAATCGGTGCTGCAAAATCGATAGTGGAACGTCGAGCTAAACGCGTGTCGTAAAACGCGTAATCTGTTTCGCGGAACGCGAGTAGATCGGAGCCGAGGCGATAATTGTCGAAATTTAAGAAGCGAATCGATTCCCGGTACAGATATTACCGCAGATTCGTTCGTCTAACGATGCCAGCCATGTAGGGCTGCGAGTTGCCACCTCTAACGAGCTCGACGGCCCATAAATTGCGTAATTACGACCTGTTAGAAAGGCTAATTAGAATTTTTACGCCCTGAAAACGACGCCGACTGTGAAAGATGAGGGTAGTTCTCGAGAGTTACCGTCAATCACACTCGTACATCCTTGTTCATATGTAAGTCTACATGGAAGAAAGAGTGGCAGGGACTTATGGGAGTTTATGTCGCGCGAACAAAGCTGCAACTTTTAACGCCTTTAGAATATACTGCTACCGAAATAAGAAATAGAAGGCAAATCACTCTGAACAGTTGCCAGATCCAAGTGACGTCCTTCTAGCGAAATAATTAATCGATTAATTCTGAAGTATTTGAGATAGAAGAACATTGTATAAGATCTTTTTGGCAGGTAATTGCAATACCTACAACTTTTATTTGACGCATTTCTCGAAATTTTGAGAAAAAAATTCAAAAATTCTGTCATTTTTCGAAATTTTCGTTTATTGCAAATAACTACTTACTTGTTGCTGCTAGCAAAAAATATTTCAAACAAAAATTTTAGTAAAAAGTACAACCTATGTATGAAATATTTCTCGCTAGCGTCAGTAATTAATTAATAAATAAAAT